GCATGTTGGGCGGTGGGCATTGCAGGCATGTTCTCAGTATGGTGGTTTCTCTGACCTCCTGCCTGGGGGTGAGGGGCTTGTCCTGCAGGAACCTTGTGGGCAGCCCTCTGTCCCCCTTTGCTGCCACCACCTTCCTGAGCCTTCCCAGGCTCTGCAGGAACTGGCACCTTCTCCCTTCTCCCCTGAATTGTCTGACGCCAACAACCTTCATTGCTGAAGGCAATGTCAAGAGGAACTTTCCATCTGAAAGCCTTCCTCAATTATTGGCAGCTATTTAAGACACCCCTGCTGGCCTACATGTCACCTGGTGGGGAAAGCTGACAGGTTAGACGTTCCCTCTTCACTCCCCATCTCCCAGTGTGACATGGCAGGGTCAAAACTCCAACCTAACCACTGCCGATCATGTGATCTCTGCCAAATTATGGGCCCTCTCTGGGTTTCCATCTTCCTATCTATAAAACAGGTCAATCTAGACCAATGGATCAGAATAGAGATCCAGAAATTACCCCTTACTTGTGTGGTCAATGATGTTTGACAAGGGTGCCTAGGCGATTTGACGGGAAAAGAAAAGTCTTTCCAACAAATAGTGGTGGGTCAATAGGGTCTCCACAGCAAAAGAATAAAGTCAGACCCTTACCTCACACCATATGCAAAAATTAACTCAAAATGAACCAAAGGCCTAAACATAAAAGACAAAACTTTTAAAAGAAAATGTAGGGGGAAAGCTTCATGATATTGGATTTGGCATTGATATCCTACATAATGACACCAAAAGCACAGGCAATAAAAGGAAAAAACACATTAAAATGTACAACTTTTGTGCACAAAGGACACTAACAAGAGTGAAAAGGCAACCTATCATAGAATGGGAGAAAATAACCACAAATCACATATCTGCTAAGGAATTAATATCCAGAATATATAAAGAGCTCCTACAATTCAAAAATAAAAAGTCAAACCACCATTTAAAAAATGGATAAAGGGCTTGAATAGACATTTAAAGAATATATACAAATAGCCAAAAAGCACATGGAAAGATGCATAACATCACTGAACATTGGGGAATGCAGATCAAACCACAATGAGATACCACCTCACACCCATTAGAATGGCTATTCTTTTTTTAAAAAGTAATGTGAAGTTGGAGCCCTCTGCACTGTTGGTAGGAATGTAAGATGGTGCAGCCACTGTGGATAGTATGGAGGTTCCTCAAAAATTTAAACATAGAATTACCACATCATCCACCACTCCCGGGTACACAACCAAAAGAATTGAAAGCAGAAACTTGAAGATATATTTATCTGTGCACCCACCTTCACAGCAGCATTACTCACAATGGCCGACAAATGAATGAATGAGCAAAATGTGGTACAGGTATATAATGGAATATTATTCAGTTTTAAAAAGGAAAATCTGACAAATGCTGCAATATGGATTAACCTTGAAGATACTACACTGAGTGAAATAAGCCAGTCACAAAAAGACAAATACTGTGGTGTCATTTATATGAGGTCCCTAGAGTCATTGAATTCAGAGACAGGAAGTAGATGGTAGGTTCCAGGGCTGGGCACAGGGATGGGGAGTTAGTGTTTCATGGGGGCAGAATTTCTTTTTGGGAAGATGGAAAAGTTCTGGAGATGATATAGGTGACAGCTACACAATGTGAATGTGCTCAATACCAATGAACACTTAAAAATAGTTAAAATATAAATTTTATGTTCTGTATATTTTACCCCCCCCCATACACACACACACACACACACAAACACGTAAGAATCACCACCTTTACCTATTTATCCACCAGATATGTATGTTCCCACTCTTAAAGGCAGACATGGGCCAGCTTCCTGGAGCCTCAAGTCTGAGGTCAGACACTGATCAAAAAATCACATGCACACACTCGCACACACACTCACACATGTGCACTCGTATACTCATGCACACTCACATGTGCATGCATAAGTCCACACTGCACTTAAGTGCTAGAGAAGCAGCAAACTCCAAGCTGGCTCCAGGCCCATCTGCCATGTGGTGTGAGGGGCTGGGTATGAGGGCACACACCACCCAGCTCCTCAGGTCCCTGCCTTGTGGGCACCTTGTCAGAGGGAACAGGAGGAGACCCAGCAGGGACTCCATGGGGACAGACTCAGCCACACAGCAGGCAGAACGGATCTGACCTCTGCTCTACCTGCAACCCTCTCCCTCCCCAGGTGAGGGGTAACGGTCCCCATCTCTGCCAGCTTTGGGCCCTGGTGGTGACACCCCCCCCATCCTGACCCCCACCTGCTCCCCTCCTTGGCCAGATTGACCTAGAATGGGACAGGTGACTCTCCCAGCTGGCAAAGGTGACTTCAGTGGTGATCTGGGTGGTGGCCAAGGTCAGGTGTCCTGATTGCTCTTCATGAAGAACTGAGCGAGAACTACAGGAGTCTTGGGCAGATTGTTCATTTGTCCGAAAGTCAAATTAGGAGCTGGGTCAACACATGTTCAAATGGCAAGAGAGGAAGTCATGAGAGCACGTGACCAGGGGCAGTGACCAGAGGACAGGGATGGGGGATGGAGATAGGGGACTTGGGACTGAGGATAGGCGACGGGGGTGGGGTGAAGGATGAGGGAGGAGTTATGGGGAAAAGGGAAGGGGACCAGGGGACAGGGACTGGGTACAGTGGTGGCCTCAGCAGCTTGCCTGGCTTAGTCTCCGTGACTGCCAGGCCAGGCCAGCTGCCGCCAGTGCTTCCTCTCTCATCCCAACACCTGACTCCAAGTGGACCAGGTGCAGCTTGAGCAAAGCAACGTGATGGATGTAACGCTGCAAAAGCCTGTTTCTACTAGAGTGCTGTTGCCTCCCCACCACTGTCCCTGGTTTCTCAGTAGCTGCTGTAAATTCCATGATGGCAAGTCAGAACGAGGTGGCTGGAGTCCCTGAGGTGTGCCTACACTGCCCCCATGTGGCAGACTGACTGCTTGTGGGCTGCGTTTGGTGTCCTTTACCTTCCGGCCCTTCTGCCAGGGCTTGCTCACCACCCTTCAGGTAGCCCTGCCCTCCAGCAGGACCTCTTCCCTCCTCCCAAAGCTGACCTGCCTCTCTGGCCTTCCAGAGAGCAGGCTCGTGTTCCCCCACCCTAGCCCTCAGTGGCTGCCCAACACCTCCCCATTAACCATCCCCCACGTCCCCCCTGTCCCCCACTCCTCACTGTGCCTCCACTGGCCAAAACCTTTCACTCCCACTGAGAGGTCTGTGCCACACACCTGAGCATCAGTACCAAATACCTGAGACTATCTACCACAAACCTGGGCACATCTGTATCTTACCTGACAGTATCACCACATACCTGTACCTTACCTGAGTATCAGCACCTGAGCACATCTGTACCATGCCTGAGTATTGGTATCACAAACCTGAGCACATCTGTTCCTTACCTGATAGTATCTATACTGCACACCTGAGCACATCTGTAGCATACCTGATAGTATCTTCACCACACCTGTACCTTACCTGAGTATCTGCATCATACACCTGAGCACACCTGTACCTTACATGAATCTGCACCATACACCTGTTGAGTTGCTGAGAAGCCCACACTATTTTCATAGAGGAACTTCTCTCTCTGCGAATAAGACCTTAACTCACCTACAATCCGATCTTCTCTTTGTAAGTGTCCGTCTCCCCTTCCCTAATCCCATTACAATCTCCTCAGTGGCTGGTACAGTGTGAGAACAGGTCTCTCAGCATCCAGCCTGTATGGCATCGAGTGATCCTTGAAGATTAAACCCGTGTACCTGGGGGAAGGTGTCTTACCAAGGCCTTGAACTGCCATTGCTCCAAGACCAGCTCGAGGAGTCTCCAGTTTCCTGGGAGTCAGGCTGAATCCAGGGCCCAAGGTGCCGCAGGTGCAGGGCAGGTGGGGGAAGTGGGTGGACTGGGAAAGCCAGCATTTGGAGGATGAGGCACAGAGCACAGTGAGGCTAGGCTAGTGGTGATGCCTGCTGCCCCACTCTAAGCTTGGGGTCTTTACAGGCCTGGGATCAAGGGAGCAATGGGAGTGGTGTCATCCACAGGCACCTCCAGTGGCCCTAGTGTGTGGCACGAGAATGGGGACAGGGAAGCAGCAGAAGTTACTGGTGCAGGGGGTGTGGGTATGGGATTAGATGGAGCTGTTGAATCCAACGTGTTCGCGAGAACCCAAGAAGTCACCTGAGCACCTGGAAGTGTGGGGTTCACCAAGTGGGTTCTAGAGTCTGAAGGCCACCTGTAGTTGCAAATTTGGGGTTCGGGGTCAGGGAATTGACATCACTAAAGTAGAACTTGGGGTCATGTGCTGGTGCTGTGTCATGAGTGTCGACATCCAGAGAGGCACCCAACGTGAAAAGGAGTGGAAATCCTCAGAGACCCCTGTGGACCCTCCTGCACTGAGCTCACAAGGACAGTTTTCAAGCCCCACAGATTCTCATCAGTGATATCCTCATCCCTCCATCAAACACCACAGATAAGAAACCCACACCCTTCCCAGGTACCCATATCCCCAACCAGCAAGGTGCCCAATCACGGACACGCAGGGCCACCCAATTTCTGACAACCATCCAGAACCCAAATATCCACACAATACCCCCCAAATTCTGGTTTGGGAAGCACACTTAAAAGGGGGGAGTGTCCTGGCCAGTGTGGCTCAGTTGGTTGAGCACTGTCCCATGAACTGAGAGGTCACTAGTTCAATTCCCGGTCAGGGCACATACCCAGGTTATGGGCTCGATCCCCAGTAGGAGGCAATCAATTGATGTTTCTCACAACCATGTTTTACTCTCTCTCCTTTCTTCTCTAAAAAATTAATAAAAACATATTTTAAAAAGGGAGGAGGGGCAGAAACAGCCTAAAGCAATTCCACAAGTGGTAGGGCCACGGGTCATGGGCTGTCAGATCACACACTCACTTCACTTTCATGTTTGAAAACAGACCTTAACAGGGCAGACTTAATCATTAGTAAATGACAAAAACACGCCTCTAAACTACATTTGGATTTTTATGTTCAAAGTTGTTCTATGAAATTTAAACACACTCCTGTAAGAGGACCAATTATATCTACGCATTTCCACAAGTGAGTCATGCGGACCACCGAAAATGACCTCAAGGTGCCCAGAGCCCCTTGAAGCTCCCCTCATGAGCACATCAGAGATGGCCTGGGACAAGGGGTATATTGCTTTATTGCATACCTTGCATATTCAAATGAATACAATAAACCCCTTTTAAAAAGTAAGGCACATGAAAAGTCTTCTGTGCAAGTTCTGTATTATTTTAAAATTCCTATTGGCTAATAAAGTATTTCCACTATAGAATTGGAGCTACATAGAAAAGCACATGATAAATGTTTGACATGCAGAATACCTGAAACATTATTATATCTTACCTCATGGCACAATTAAACAGTCCCAAATCAAATGTCTGTATCTGAATAACAATATGACTATTGTTACAACTGCAAAAATGTTAATCAGATTATCCACATATGTACAGTTGGGTCCCCAAATATTAACTATATAAAGACAACTGCATTTGTGCTCCGTTTCACTAACGGTAAGAGATTTGGCATTTTCAGTCTTTTTTTTCCGTAAGTCATGTTGCTATTTATAAAAGGACAGTGTTATACGATGCTGAAGACCATGGAGAGATACTGTTCATATGACACCTGAATCCAGCCGTCCTGATCTGTATCGTAGCGTCTGAATATATCTGTCAGTCTCTGAGGAAGAAAACCACAGGCATTTAGATCTTGATATTAAAGGAACAGAATAAATTTGGCAAAAGACATTTAGGAACCCAATTTCAGCAGCACTCATGTTTCCACATTCCCTAACTGACGAAACCAGCACAGGGAGGCACATGTGGGGATCCTTGTCTGATCCCAAGGCCCAGCAGGTGAGGGCCAGCGCACATCGTGCAAGGGCAGGTCTCCCTTCGCCAGCTCAGGGTCCATCCTGCCCCCCACATCCTCCTGTCTGCCGATCCCCACCCCAGGGCTCCACCTTAATTTATTCATAAGCCTGACCATCCAAATCAGGTCAGGAGCAGGAGCCCACCAGTACTCAAAGGCAGGGACAGTCAGGTCAGGGCTGCCCCAGAGGACAGGGCTGCAACCACAACAGATTCTGAAGAATTATAATGACAAGATAAGAAAACAACACCCAGGTTCATGATGGCCTTTGTGCCCAGCCAGCTGCCCAGGGCGGGGCCTGGAGAAAGGCTGAGCCTGGCCATGTGGGCTGTGCCTGCCAGTCTCCTCAGGGCTCCCTCGGTATCAGCCAGGAGCATCCCAGCATGTGTGCAAGACAGCGGCAGAGACCACCAGTGGCACTTAACTCTGGCTTGAAGAACAATGGGCAATCTTTCTTTCTCCTTTTGATTTTTTTTAATTTATTGATTTTAGATAGAGAGGAAAGGAGGGAGGGAGGGAGAGAAAGAAAAAAAGAGAAAGAGGAAGAGAAAGAAACATGAATTTGTTGTTTCACTTATTTATGCATTCACTGGTTGATTCTTATATGTGCCCTGACAAAGAATCGAACACACAACTCTGGCATATCAGGACGACACTCTAGCCAACTGAGCTACCGGGCAGGTCTGGGCAATCTTTCTTTATGTTTTAATTGTATTTTTCCAAGATTTCTACAAATTTTTATGTTACTTTATCATAAACAATTTTGAAAAGCCTTTTCCTTTTCAAAAAGAGGCAGAAGGAGGAATATATTTTCAAGGCTTTTTGCTTGTGGCCTGCAGTTTTCTTTTCGATGCCCCACCTCTTTCCAGCATTCAGGGTCATTCTGGAAGGGTGGGTGGGACTAGAAACTGGCAATGAGGCCCTAGGCATAGCTGGAAGCCTGCCTGGAAGCAGTGGCTGGCCCGTCCTCAACCCC